GGACGGGTGCGGTCGACCTGCCCACCGACGACACCCTCGGAGCGCTGGGTGGCCCCGGGTTCGCCGTCACCCCCGACGGCGGGCGGCTCCTCCTCGGGCGCGCGACGGGCGGGATCGACGTGCACGCGTTGCCGGGAGGTGAGCCCGTCGGGCGCCTGCGAGGCGGGCACTCGACCAGGGTGGTCGGGATCGTCCCGAGCGCCGACGGGCGCGGGGCGGTGAGTGCGGACGACGACGGGCGGGTCTGCCGGTGGGATCTGGAGTCGGGGCGGTTCCGCGTCGTGCGCCGCGGTCGCGGCGGGCCGCGGGTCACCCTGGTCTCGGCGCTCGGCCCCTCGACGGGCTGCGCGGCGGTGATCGCCGACGACGCCCGCTCGGTCCGGGTCGCGCGGACCGGGCGGTGGCGCGAGCGGGTGCTCCCGGCCGGCACGTACGCGACGGTCACGGCCCTCACTCCCGACGAGCAGGTCCTGCTCGTCGGCGAGAGCGACGGTGGTGTGCGGGTCTGGGACCTCGTGTCCGGGCGGCGGCTCACGACGTTGCGAGGGCACGTCGGGCCGGTGGAGGACATCGCCGTCGACCCCACGGGGCGCACCGCCGTGACCGCCGCGGGCGGGTTCGACGACCTCTCGGCCCGTGTCTGGGACGTGCGCGCCGGCCTCTGCGGCCACGTGCTGGTCGGCCATGCGGGCCCGCTCACCTCGGTCCGGATCACTCCCGACGGGGGCCGAGCGGTCACGGCGAGCGGCGACGGCACGCTGCGCGTGTGGGACCTGGACACCGGCACCTGCATCAGGGTCCTCGACAGCGGGACGCGACGGGTCCCCCGGATCACCGACGTCGTGGCCGGCCCGCCCGCGACGGCCGTCGTCGACGAGGTGACGGGAGCGGTGCGCCTCTGGGACCTCGACACCGGCCGCTGCCGGCGCACCCCCCTGCACGGGGCCGACCGCGACGGCGTGTTCGCCGCCCCGATCCGCCTGACCGGCGACGGACGGGTGCTCGTCGCCGCCGCGAAGCACCGCGCCCGGATCATGCCGTTGGCCCCCATCCGGACGAGCCCCCTGGTGATCTGCCGCTCCCGCACCCCGGACGAGCTCACCGTGGCCGCCGCACGCGCCCGACGGCTGCTGGCGGGCGCCCGCGACCTCGGGGACGCCGACCCCACGGCCGCGGCCCGCGCGATCGAGGAGCTCCGGGCCCTGCCGGGGCACCGCCGCGACCGCAACGCGATGGCGACCCGCCGAGCGATCGCGCGCGGCGGTCGCCGCGGCGAGTACCGGGGGGCCTGGCTGCGCGACACCCTGACCGTCGGGAGCGGGACGGTCACGGCGCTGTGCGCACTCCCCGACCGACCGGCGGTGCTCGTCGCGTGCGACGACGGGTCACCGGTGCGCCTCTGGGACCCCGACGCCGGGAGCCCGTCCATGGAGCTCGGCGACGGTCACGCGGTCGCGGTCACGCCCGACGGCCGCGTCGCGATCACCGCAGGCGTCGACGGCGCCGCGCGGGTGTGGGACCTCGTCGGCGGGCAACGGATCGCCACGCTCATCGGGCACCGGGCAGGGATCAGCGCTGTCACCGCCACGCCGGACGGCTCCCGCGTGATCACCGCCACCGACGACGGCACC